AAAGTACTCTAAACTGTATAAATAATGTAAAATTAAATTGAATTTATTAGCCAATCAGACAAACTTCTGTCTATGACATCAAAACGCACAGAAGTATAGGTCCGTCGCTTCGCTCCGGACAATAAATTTACTCTTTATATATAATCACCCGGCCATGCGAAAGTCTATCTTTCGTATAAGCAATTGGGATCGAGTGTTCCACCAACGTTCGTTAGAGACGATAATAGTATCTAATACATTAAGGTTTTAGTATTTAAAACGGAATAACCAATAGAAGGAAAAGATTTTTTTTGAAGTGAAAATCTCGAAATTCACATTGTCTAAAAGAAGTTACAGTACAAAAAAAATTAATTTCGGCAACTCAGAAAATAGAAATCCGTCAATTTGACAAAAATTATAGGAAACATTAGATCCTACAACCTGAGTAACGAATCATTACGTAGTAAAGAGTTATAATTTATTAATGAAATATGAATAATTTATCGCTATTCTAAAAAAAATTTTTTTTGGGACATTGTGTAATGAAGCAATATTCTTTTATCTTTAATAATTAACTTAAGAATATAGAAAATTAAACACGTGTTTTGGCTAATTATAAGTCTTAAAAGTTTTACACATACAATCTTTAATTGTTAAGATCAATTACATTATGCATACAACTGTGGTAAATATGTTGATGTTTTATTAAATCATTACATAAGACAAACTTAACGAGGGAGCAAAAGTTACTGGTCAACTGCCTGCGTGAGAATCAAAAGAAGAAATGGAGAATGAGAGAATGTGGAAAATCCCAAATATAGCTAGTAGAATACTAATAAAAAAAGATCTTAGATGTATTATCGTTATATATTAATTATTATTTAACAATAACCGAAAATCTAAACTTTATAGTAACCTCTCGCTTTGTTTTTTCGTGTGCTTTATTTCGGAGTGATATTGAGAACTTTCTATAGATAGTAAAATAAAACATGTAATGATTTACGCCCAACTTATGGCCTGATGTGTTTTTATCCAATTAGCATTTATCATCGAATGAACACATAAAATTATTAATGCAGTATTTCCTTTCCTTTCCTGGGAGGCTTGTAATACTCCAACTTTTTCTTAACTGAGGACTGGATACCCGTCTACTGGAAGATTGAAAGCACCGGATTATCAATTATTCGAATTTTTAATGCTCCCGAGAATACATATATAGAAATCATAAGTATTAAGATTGGAGTTGGGAGGAATGTACGGCATTACCCGCGCTTGTGTCATAATTTGTAGGTACAGGCACGTGTCGAGGATGTAATAGATTTCGTAAAGAGACGTTTCGAATTATAGAAGACCGCCTATATTTGAAAATTTTTTAAAATAATAATCTTTATTTTAGTGTATAAAACGCATATAATATCTCGGATACTAACGATCGCAGATCGTCTTTGATAATAAGTTAATAAATGCTACGGAAAATTATTTTAAATAATAGGTCATAAAATTGTTTATTTTGATAATACGGCTTATCATTGACGATTTATTACGAGTTGTATAATATATTTGAAGTAAAATATATTATACTAAATTTTTAACAAAGTGTTACGAAGCTTATACAAAAAAGACGAAGATAACAACGTAATGCCTATCATGAGATAACTGGCCCAACTATTTTTGTACCTCATTACCAAAATTCCAAACAAACCTGGCACGATCGTGTGAATTATTTAAATAATCAGGATAGGTAAATTAATTAATATTAACTTAAAATGACATATCGGTAAAGAAATTTCGTAATGCAGTTGAATCAACGTGCATTATTAAATCCCGAAAATTGCGTCTTATTCTAATTTGTGACCATATTTATGATATTGTATCCTAATAATCTTAAAAAATCTTAGTTGTACATGTACATAAATTTTTGTCATGCGAGACTTAACCTTATTAAACCAAAACCATAAAAAAAAAAAAAAAGAATAAAAAACGGCCAATTTTTTATAATGGCCAACTTATATATGCATAAAAAAATTTTGGTTTTTTTTTCATATGTCAATAGAATCTTTAATCCAACCCATAATTAAATCATCATCATTATGAACCTTTCCGACGACAAATATGCCTTTTGTTTCACTTTTATATTCGCCAACCACAGCGACGCAACCCATCTGTGGCAATCCTTTAATTCTTATATGATCCCAATTACGTTCTTCCAATGATAAAGATTTTAAGAGCTCCCATGGTCGTCCCTCATTTGTCTCATTTTCATATCGAAAATTATCTCTTTCCTTTCCACCTAAAATAATGATACGTTGGCTCATTGAAAATATCGCAGCATGTACTCTTCTTCCGACTTTACTTCCATCCGTTTTTATCCAATCTGACGGAAGAGTTAATGTAGGTGATAATCGAGAACCATCAGGGTAAGGTGCGATAATTTTATTCCAATTTTCTTGGCGAACATCATACAGATGAATATCCTTATCATCGTGTATCTGTGTTTCTGTTGATGCTGAAGAGGAATTTATTTGTTGACCACCGTAGATGTAGAGTTTTTCATCTAATACAATTGTACTATGCGAAGCACGTCGATAAGGTATGTTATTTGATTTTATATTAGACCAACATCTATTGTTTATGTCATAAATGGCAAAATGTTGAGTATCATACATTTCTCCATTCATCAGGCATCGTCCACCAAACATTACCAAACGTCCACTATTGATAGCATTAAGGGAATGCATCTTTCTAGGAGCGGTGGTTGCTGAAGATTCTATTTTAACCATTTTAAAAGATGTCATATCTAATTTATAGAGCACATTAGATAATTCTTCGGTTTCTATATTTTCACCACCAAATATATACATTGAGTTTGTAATGACCGCTGCGGCACAATACCGAACTGGTTCATATGAATCAGGTGATTCTAGAACTATTATAGTTCTAGTCCACGTGATCGGACGGGCGTCCAAATTAAGAGACCAACAAATTGGTTGATCTTTGAAAAAGATCACAAGATAGAATATATTATTAGACCATACACCATCTCGGTAATTAGATGCGATAATGTTACTGTTAGTGATTCCAACATTTACAGCCTCCCATTCAGGTGACACAAATCCGAAACGAAATTTGGTTGTCATGCGATATAGCAATCGACAAGTTTGAGAAAGATTTTTTCGGTCATTTATATTTAATTGTTCCATTATAATATACAAAGTTTCGGTTGGAAGCCTGAGAAGTCTACTATCTTCTAACATCAGTAAATCGGTTAATTTTTATGTGCATATAATCCAAGTGTAACGAAACCGATTGACATCGGGTCTCGATGAGTTAGAAGACTTAGTGATATGAAAATATGAAACCTTTTTAAAATAATATCCCCCTCGTAATGGGTCAAAAAGTGATGAAATAATCAGAAAGATTCAAGTAAGCTACTTCTTGGAATGCCTTCTTTTTATAATTTTAGTCCAGTATCCACGTGAATCAAAAGAGTACTAATATATGCTTCATAACTTTTGTTCCAAATTGGATTAAAAACCTTCGGGCAATTTAGATGAAAGACCATTCGAGGTTTAGTAATTGTTTTGTTATTGCTATTCAAATATATTTGGTTAGTTCATTACATCATTTAGGAATCACAAGAGTGACATTCGTATATGCACATTAATTGAGCTGGTTGCTCTTATCCACAACAATAATTTGATGATTCTAGAAATAAGATTTTAAACTCATAACAAAGATAACGTTTTTATCATAGTTACTCAAGTTTAGAGCGCCCGCATACACGTCCAAATGACGATGTTTGCGAAATGAAATATTTTAAGTATGGTACCAACAATGAGGACAATTATTTTTTGGAATAATAGTGTGTCTCACAACATTCGTCATTCCCAGATACAGTTTAATTCAAGGCTTAGGAAACACCACAAAATTTAATTTTAGCTTAACCTCCAAAAGTGTTCATCTAATTTTTATATATTAAAAACTCTCTTAAATTGTTTTTTCTTTAAAGTAGTTATTTCTTAAAATGTACACAAATATTCGATGTACACTAAACCGCACCAAAGATCGGGAATTATTCCACTTATGATATCATCAAGACATCACAATGCAGACGTAGTTTTATTTATACCTTTAACACTATATTAAGTACATAAATTCTCACTGAAATTAAAAAACGCCTCCGATTCCTTTTTTTTTTATAGAGACAATCGAGAGTTACTTTATGTGGTAACTGTACACATCAATATTTACTTCACTGTTGGACTTAATTCCGAGAAATATGTAATTAGGTAAGATTTTCAATCGCTTTTTTTACTGTTGTTAATCTCAGGTTATTAAGCTGACTATACTTGTAAATTATCATTTCTATCATGCCATGTTCACTAACAAGTTTTTTTTCCGTAATTCTATATATGAAGCAATATAAATACTTACCGTTTAACTGTATAATTTCATTTCCAATCTTGGTAGATATATATGTGTAAGGGATATATTATATATTATATATTATATATTTTATTATATTAAATTCTATAGATTTATTTCCTCAATTCCAGTTAATTCCGTTATTCATACAACGAGTCATTTTATAGTTTCTTCATAAACTTTTATGAACATTGCATGAATATCGTGGAAATTTCTGGGTACCAAATGCAAATTTGTAGAAAATTCGGGAATAATCACACTCATGTGATGATTATTATCATTGATTATTATTGATATTGTATTATTGGTCCATTTCTTGTATTACGGGGAGTAAAAAAAAAAAAAAATGTACGCAAAGTGCGTCATTTGTGGCACTCGTTAACGCGTTTGGTAATTATTAACGAGATTCATACAATAATGACGTCTATTCGTAGAAAATATTTCAATATTTTATTTGAACAAAAAGTAATGGCACAGTATCGAAAGATACTAGAATCAAAATTTAATAATCAAACAGGTAAAAATATTCGTGTCAATTGTCTTAAAACGGATTATACTGTTATAAGCTCAAGCTCAATCTATCACTATGATTTATGGATATATCATATTACGTGTCTAGACAGGAAAATAATTACGTTTTTTAGTTTCTTGCTTAAGAATTTTTGGGTCTTACGTGTCTAGATGATGTAATAACTATGAAAACATCCGTTTGTTTATTTGCCGATTATATTTCTCAGTTTGGACTAAATTTTTGAATTAACATACTTCAAAGGTTGGTTAATCAGTTATCTATAATATATTTGACCAAAGGAAGTCAAACTGGTGGGTTAAATTGGTCAGATAATTTGGCTTATTACTTCAATAGTTTGGCAATTTACATGGATTAAGATATTATATATATTTATTTATAGATTTCATAGCAACTGCAAGCCGATTTCGAGCATATTTTATAAACAACATTAACATTTTTAACCGGTCTTCAGTCAATAAGTGGGGTCATAGAAATTTATTTTCTGATAACTATTAGTATAGGTCTATTAATTTTTGAAGTAACTTAGATGGGATTAAATTTCCTCCACACTGTTTGGTTCCCATCTAAATTACCCAAAAATTAATACAGTCGTCCTCCTCTACAGAGTCATCTTCTATAAGCATCATTTTTTGAAAAATTATTTGGCAATATAAAAAAACTTCATATAATCACATTACTATTACAATTTTATAATCACATCTTTTTTATGTAAAACGGTGTGATTACAGAGGAAGAGGATTGTACAAAAATTAACAAACCTATATAAATTGTGGTTATATAAGAATAAAATTTCTACGTACAACTTTACTTATTAACAGAAGACCGATTATGAATGCAGGTCATATTAACATATATATATTAATTATATATATGCAATTTGACCAATTTGACTATATTAAACTCTTTGAACCAGAGTTAGAGGCCTGCGTTGGGTCCCGCAGCCCGGCCCGGCCCGGCCCGGCCCGCAAATTTTTGCGGGCCGGGCCGGGCCT